CTTTACTCTGGTCTGTGGAAAGGCCACTGAAGGGTCTTGAGCAAATAGATGATGTCCCCAAAATTCCATCTGGGGCCTATTGGTCTGGAAGCAGGGTGGAGAATGAGGGCAAGAGACCAGGGCACCAGGACCTGTGGGGAAATTTATCGTGATGATCCATGCCTGGGTGTTAGAACAGAAGGCAGTGGAAAGGAAAGCTGATGGCTCCAAACCTTTCATGTGTCTTCGCCAGCCTCCCATTCATCCCCAGAAGTCAGCATCCTCAACAACTGAGCAGATGCAACGAATGCCAACCTCTTGCCTCTTTCTGTTTTTAATATGGTTGATTTGTGCAAAACAGGAAGTGCTACCGTGACAATGGCATTATTTGTGGCTGAGAAATGTACTTACTCTGAAAACCATGGGCGCCTTGTGCTGAAGCTCAGCTGTGCTTATGGAGTCTCCTGGTGGGTGGGCCCAGTTCCAACAGGGGCCATGATTTCCCTCTGCTTTGCCAGCAGAACGGACTCAAGAGCTGCTCTGTTCCTGAGACAGGGGACAAGGTTGCTCAGCCTCTCAGGAACTCCGAGCTGCATGGGGCCCTGGCACTGCAGAGGAGAGCGGCTGGCCGAGTGCCCGCCAGGCCCCGCGAATGCGGACAGATTTACGGGGAGGTCACAGGAAAGTCTTCCCCGCCCAGGCTTTGGTCCTAGATAAACGGTTCAATCTGAGGTAGTGGCTGCAGGCTGGGGGAACTCAGAGGAAATGTAATTTTCTGAGACAGAGGTGGGTGGGAATGCGCAGTGGGCACCGAGCTGGAGGCGGGTGACCGGCCCGGTCAGCAGAAAATTCTAGTCTTCTGTTCAGCTGAATTCGAATTTCTTATCGTGATTCACCTTGGTGGCCTCACTCACTCGGGCTTCTCTAGTCTTTTTCTAAAGTGATGTTTTCACTGAGCCATGAAGACATTCTTTTGGAGCACAGTCTTTTGGAATCAGAGCCTGGTTTGAAGCCTGACTCCATGGCTTCCTAGCTGTGTAACCTACTGCAGACTGCTTAACCTCTCTGAGCCTCCATTCCCTCATGGAGTTTACATGACGATGAAACTCAGGGATATAGATAAAGGACTGAACAATAGTCAAATCCCTGCTCTGCCACTTAATGTTCATGTGGCCCTGGGCAAGACAGCCAAATCCTCTGGGCTTTAGCTTTCCCCCTGCTCCAGAACATGGTTGTCAGGATCAAATGAGACCAACCTCAAAATCAGATAAACCATGAACACGCATATAGTAAGAACTCAGTAAATGGTTACTATAATTGCTAGTATGGTTGGAAATGGTAGCTCTTGTTAATATAACTTTGGGATAAAGTGAAATAAACACAGGAGCAAGTTTAATTTTCAGGACCCCAATGAAATAGTTCAGAATTCCCTTTCCATCTCCCCTGGCTCCTGTTGATTCATTCAGTCAACAAGCATTCACTGAGCACCTACTCTGTGTTGGTCACTTTGCAGGCACAGGGGACACAGCAGCCAGTGAAAGAGGGCTGTGTCCTGCTCTCATGCTGTTTTAATGTCTAGTGGGAAAGTCAGACAGTCAAATAATTCTGTGAATTAGAATCCCATAAGGTGATGAGTGTTTTGAAGGAAGTTTGGGAGCTCTGAGAATTTGTGACAGGAGGTGCTGGCTTGGTCTGGGGGTCAAGGAGACTTCTGGAGGAAGTAAAGCTTGATTTGAGATCTGAAGATGAGGGAAGTGACTAAGCTGGTCCCTATGCCCCTCCTTGGACCTGTGGGGGCTCTGAGGCCTGGCTGTCTTTACGTGCTGCCTCCCCTACACTCTGGGGGCCTCATCACCCAGATGTAAGCTTCAGATTGTAATACTCAGCAGTCTCCCTCAGCCTCCTTTCTCTTAGAGAGCAGAGAAGATTGGAGATCAGAGTTGCAAATACACTTTCAGGAAGGGAAAGTGGTATGATGCCTCAAAGGCAGAGACCCAGCCTGAGGAGAGAGCCAGAAACCAGAATCCAAGTCCTTCCTGGCTACCTCTGTGGACCCAGCAGAGGGGAACTTGTATTTTTTTTCTGCCGTAACTTACACTTCCTTGGGCTGATGTAAAAATGAGCAAAAAGATGCTGAGGAGTGCCGGCCAATGGCTGATGGTTTCTGCTCCAGGTTTCGGGCAGAGCCTGGATACCCCAGCACAACGGAGCTGAAACAAGAAATGGATTTTGATCTCTTCAACAGTTTGCAGAAACCTCAATTCCAACCAAAGGCCAAATCAGCTTTGGAGGCCTAATCCCTCGGCCCCACCGTTGTCAGCGGTGGCCATTTCTGGAAGCTCCACATCTCAGTCAGGTTGAGGAACATCTCTGGGAAAAGCATCTTGAATTCCTGTTTCTGTCATTCACTGGATCCCTTCAATTGCCTTCCCTTTTCTTAACTTTTAAATAGCTACAGTTACCTGCATCCAGTAGTTACCTGGGTTTAATTATTTTTTTGGTATGGGCCTCATTTTAGCTAAGCAATTGCAAACAATAGCTTGATTATACTTCTAAATTCTTTTGACACAAGCAATTGCTTCTTTTCCAAAGCACGCTCTGACGCTATCTGAAGATTGTAGCATTTTCTCTCCCTTAGCATTTTTGCCTAGATCTCACCCACTGAAGAAACCAACTGGAAATATTTGGCATTCCTTGTACCTCTGGCCATCCACACAGCTTAGCCTTCTGGGGCTCTGCATTTCAGCTTTGAGCCTCAAGGAGAATGGAAAAGAAAGGCCAAGGCATGTTTCAGTCTCTGAAGTCTGCTCCTGCATGAAGTCATCCCCTGAGGGGTGTGGGTTGGGGTGTTGCCATAATAAAGTATTTTTTTTAATTTTGGTAAAATATACAAAACCTATAATGTATCATTTTAGCCTTTTTTTTTTTTTGATGAGGAAGATTCACCCTGAGCTAACATCTGTGCCAATCTTCCTCTATTTTCTAGTATGTGGGCCGCCAGCGCAGCACGGCCACTAACAGTGTAGGTCCACACACTGAAGCAGAGCACACTGAACTTAACCTCTAGGCCACCAGCGCTGGCTCCATTCTAGCCATTTTTAAGTGTGCAGTTCAGTGGCGTTAAGTATGTTCCCAGTGTTCTGCAAACATTGTGAACATACTTTAAAAAAAGTGTTTTTTTGTTGTGCAAAAAAAAATTCACCACTATCCATTTCCAGAACTTTCTCACCATCCCAAACAGAAGCTCTGTACCCGTTAAACACTAACTCCCTGTTCTCCTCTCCCCTAGCCCCTGGTAACCTCTATGCTACTTTCCATCTCTCTGGATTTGCCTATTCTAGGTACCTCATATTAGTAGGGTCAGACAATATTTGTCCTTTTGTGTCTGGCTTATTTCACTTAGCATAACATCTTTAAGGTTCATCCATATTGTAGCCTATGTCAGAATTTCATCCCTTTTTATGGCTGAATAATATTCCATTGTATATATATGTTACATGTTGTTTGTCCATTCATCTATTGGTGGACACTGAGTTGTTTGTTTTTTTGGCAAATTGTCTACTAAAGTTTAACATAATAGATGGGATCTGGCTCCTTTGTGACCTAGGACCAATTTAACAACTACCTTTTACTTCATTTTATTCTCTGGAAATAGGACATTAAACAGAGCATCTTCAACACCAGGGCTCTACCGGCAAGCTGGGGCTGGAGAGGGTGAAAGATGGGTGGCTGTGATCTCTATGGGCTTTTGCAGAGCTACACCTAAGGGTAGCTGGTCAGAGATAGCACCCTGGTTGGGTGGGACTGCATGCCATAGGGTTTCTGATTCTGTATATAGAAAACTTCATTCATTTATTCATTCATTCCATTAATTAAACCCATTCATTCTTTTATTCACTCACTCATTCGTTCCAATATTATTAAACATGGTGGTAAGCAAAATAGGTCTTGCCCACCCTGAGCTTCCAGCCCCTAGAGGCAGAGAGAGACAAGTAAATGGACATTGACAATGCCTAAGGGTAAGGGCTTTGGGAGGAGAAGCATGGTGCGCTGTGCAAACACAGAGGGGGCGCCTCCCCTGTAATTGGGAGCCAGGAAAGGCTGCCTGGAGGAAGTTACATCTGTGCCAAGTCATAAGGGAAGGGAGGAAGTTAGCCAGATGGAGGCAGAGGGCAGAAAGAGTGAACCAGGGCTAGGTAGGGACATGCAAGGGCCTGCAGCTGAAAGGCAGGGCCCGCCATCAGTGTGCTTAGCTGTGGGACATGTTTTGAAGCAGTGGTGCAGAGATTCATGAGAGGCAGGGAAGGTGAAGGTACAGGCGTGGGCGAGGACCATTTGGTGAAAGACCTCGTATGGTATTTGGGCTTAATCCTGGGGCAAAAGAAGTCTTGATGGCTTTGAAGCAGGAGATGGCTTTGAGCGGGCTTTGAAGGAGGCGTCCAGCTGAAAATCCTAAGAGCCAGCATCTGCTGAGTACTTTCTGAGTGCCAGGTGCCACTGTGGTGCTGTCTGCTGATCTCAGTCAGTCCTCACAAAGCCAACCAAGATCAGTGACAAGGAAACTGAGGCTTAGAGAGAAACTTACCAAGGCCTCCAAGTGGGTGGCAGGGTGCAGATCCCACCATCACCTCTGCTGTTCTGCGTGGTCCATGGACCAGAAGCAACCACATCTCTCAGGAGCTTGTTAGAAATGCAGAACCTCACCCTAGACCTTTTTTTAAAATTTTATTTTTTTTTTTGAGGAAGATTAGCCCTGAGCTAACATCTGCTGCCAATCCTCCTCTTTTTGCTGAGGAAGATGGGCTAACATCCATACCCATCTTCCTCTGCTTTCTATGTGGGATGCCTGCCACAGCATCGCTTGGCAAGCGGTGCGTAGGTCCGCACACCCAGGATCCGAACTGGCGAACCCCGGGCCGCTGAAGCAGAACATGTAAACTTAACTGCTGCACCACTGGGCTCACCCCTCACCCTAGACTTTTTGGATCAGAATCTGCATTTTAACATGATCCCCAAGTGATTTCTGAGCACATTGAAGTTTGAGAAGCACTGATGGTGATTCCCAAGACTGGCTGCACATTAGAATCTCCTGGGCAGTTTTGAAAATCCTTGGCTGCACTCCTGGATGAATTGCATCAGAATTTCCGGGGCTGTGACCCAGGCATCAGAATTTTTCAAAGTTCTCCAGGTGATGTCAGCTAAGCCCTTACATTGTGCATCCCTGTTCCCAGGGGGGTGGCAGGCAAACCCCTGCAGGAAGGACGAGACACAGGCTTTCAGAGTCCACCCAGCCACCAGGGGCTCTGCGCCTTTAAGAACTGGGGCTGGCTGCCTGCCCTGCGGGGTGGGGGACCACCCGCCAGCCAGCCATGGTACAGGCCGCGTGAGCACAGGCTGCAGAGCAAGGCTGCGACAGTCAGCACTGGGGCTGGCCTGGGCTTGTAGACCCGAGCCCTGCAGAACCGCCTCAGTGGCTCAGGCGAGATGAAGAAAAGGGACCTTTGTGCCTTTTTGGGGGAAGCGCACATTCTGCAAGGCGGTGGAAACAAAGAGAGGAACTGTTTGTAGCCCTAGTCCAGACGTCCCAAACAAACAGTAAGTCAGGAGGGCATGGGACGCAGCACAGCCCCCTCCTCTGCACCAGGCGACATCTGCACACCCCACCCCACCTGAGGAGCCAAGGGTCTGCAGCCAGCCTGCCCACGGACTGGCAGGGCAAAGCCAATTAGCAGGGTAGAAAATTCCCTGAAATTCTCCCGAGCATGGGGGAGGGATGTCTGTTTCTCTCAGTGAAAAGTCGTGTCTCAGCTCGTGCGTGACAAACAGCACCTGATGAATGACAACCTCTCAGGTGTGGGTACTGTTTCTCTCTCTGTCCTCCCCACTGTGTGGGCCCTTTGGTCCATGTCATTGCCCTGGGACCCCCCAAGGTCCTGTGAAAGCAAAGAAAGTGAAAGTGAAACCTGTCAGAGGTATCTGTCAGCCTTTGGGCCACAGGCTTGCTGCGGATGAGGCGATGAAGCTAATAGCCAAAATTGGGGGTGGCTGTGGGGGTGACGGGACTCCAGGCTGCGGCAGACACAGGGGCAGCTGGCCAGCTGCAGTTTCCTGAGCACCCACAGGACACAGGCAGGGACCTTTGAGGACGGAAATGTGGAGGTGAGGCAGCAGCCATCTCCTCCACCTTGGTGGGAGGCAGAGCTCTGTAAATCCTCTCCAGGCTATCTCCAGGCCATGAGTCCACTTGTCTCAGTCTCCACTGGGGGGCCAGGATCAACATGGCACAGACGACTGCAGTGGCGTACTTTTGACCTTTATGCCACCAGACGCTAAAGACAAAGCCTTGTGACTTGGGGGCGTCTCCTCTCTAGCATTGTGGGTGCCTTCCCGTCCCCTTCCTTCATGACAGCCAGTTGATAGCCAACAGCTGATAACCCACTGTAACCCACCCCCCTGCACGAGAAGGCATGCAAAAATCCTCAAGTGCTGGGGGCAGGCAGCAGGCTGAGATGAAGGTGGCAGAAAGAACATTGGCATTGATTGGCAGGCAGAGGAGGGAAGGCGCTTTGTGTCTTCAGGATAACTGGGTACAAGCTGAAAGGAAGAGAAGGGGAGGTCTGAGAGTAGAAAGCAAAGAGAAAGCTGGCTTCATCCAAGGGGTGGAGTTGAGGTGAGGAAGAAGAAAGAGGAAGGCACGGGGTGAGGCTGGGCAGCGCAGGGTGAGGTTAACTGAGAGAAAGCTGCGCCATGGCTTGCACAGAGTTATGCTGAAGCACCTCAAGAGTCAGTTGTGACTGCTGGCTACAGGGCTAGGTCCCAGGAGACCAACTGGTGCCTCCTGGCATGTGTTATTTATAAATGTGAACATCCTTGGAAAATGAGGAAGTTTCATATGTGGCTCTAAAAGGACTGAACACCAGGCTCACATCACAGCAAGGCAGCTGAAGCTGGAGCTGCCTGTTCACCAAAGTCCCGCTTGCTCACACTATACGCATTTTGCGTTCTCCGCCCCACATCCCTACTTCTGTACCTGCCTGGTTCCCAGAGGCATTGCAGATTGCTGCTACCCCTGCTCTTGATAATAATGATTTCCTTGTATTGCGAGCCTCTGTGTGTGTGTGTGTGCACATGCACATGCACACCAGGCACACAGGTATGCTCTCTTTCAATGAATTTCAATTAATCGCTCCCTTTTTCAGTTGAGGATGACAGATGCACAAAACCAAATGTACCTCTCGTCTAGATTTTACAGCCTTTCCAGGGAGTCTGCCAAATTGCTGGATGGTATTTGCATTAAAAAGATTTGAGTGCATTTTGTTATTTTGGTTTTAAGGATTTCCTAGCCTACCTTAAGGCAATATTCATTTATGTCACACTTTATAGGTTTCAAATCATTTCTTAAACAAACACGAATTCATTTTCTCTTTCCAGCCTTTCTGTGAGGTCAGTAGCTTGGGTCTCCCTCCTGCGCTCTCTTGGAGAAAACCAACTGGGAGAGAAGCTAAACGACTTGCCTTGCTCCTGCAGTAATTTTGAAGAAAAGTTAACATTTGGGCACAGCTCTCTGGAAAACTAACCTATGTCTTTTTGACTGCATGGAATTATAGGAAGTTTTGCTTTGAATAGCATAGTGCTTAAAGGTGTGATCTCCACCCAGGGTACTTGTTTGGCTGCTGGTTAGGTGACTTAACACCTATGAGTCTTTAGGCGCTGGCCCCGTGGCCAAGTGGTTAAGTTTGCGTGCTCTGCTTCAGTGGCCCAGGGTTTCACCAGTTTGAATCCTGGGTGTGGACATGGCACCACTCATCAAGCCATGCTGAGGCGGCGTCCCACATGACACAACCAGAGGCTCTCACAACTAGAATATGCAACTATGTACTGGGGGGCTTTGGGGAGAAGAAGAAGAAAAAAAAGAGGAAGATTGGCAACAGGTGTTAGCTCAGGGCCAATGGGTTTTTTCCCCCAAGTAATTTCATTGAGATCATAATGGTTTATAATATTGTGTAGTTTCAGATGTACGTTATTACTTATCAATTTCTGAATATACTTCATCATGCTCACCCCCAGTAGTCTAATTTTTGACCATCACCATATATATGTGCCCCTTTACCCCTTTCACACACCCCCCAACCTCCTTCCCCTTCCCCTCTGGTAACCACTAATCTGTTCTCTTTAAGCATGTATTTGTTGTCTTCCACATATGAGTAAAATCATGCAGTATTTGTGTTTCTCTGTCTGGCTTATTTCGCTTAACATCATACCCTCAAGTTCCCTCCATGTTGTTGCAAATGGGATGATTTTGTCTTTTTTTATAGCTGAGTAGTATTCTATTGTATATATAGACAACATCTTCTTATCCATTCATCCGTAGAAGGGCACTTGGGTTGCTTCTGCGTCTTGGCTATTGTGAATAATGCTGTGATGAACATAGAGGTGCATAAATCTCTTGGATCGTTGATTTCAAGTTCTTTAGATAGATACCCAGTAGTGGAATAGCTGTATCATACAGTATTTCTATTTTTAATTTTTTGAGAAATCTCCATACTGTTTTCCATAGTTGGCACCACCAGTTTGCTTTCCCACCAGCAGTGTATGAGGGTTCCCTTTTCTCCACATCCTCTCCAACAATTGTTATTTGTCTTGGTAATTATAGCATTCTGAGCCATGTAAGGTGATATCTCATTGTAGTTTTGATTTGCATTTCCCTAATAATTAGTTATGTTGAACATCGTTTCATGTGTCTGTTGCCCATCTGTATATCTTCTTTGGAAAAATGTCTGTTCATATCCTCTGCCCACTTTTTGATCCGTTTTTTTTTTGTTGTTGAGTTGTATGAGGTCTTTATATATTTTGGAGATCAACCCCTTGTCAGATAAATAATTTGTAAATATTTTCTCCGAGTTGGTGGGTTGTCTTTTCATTTTGTTCATGATTTCCTTCACTTTGCGGAAGCTTTTTAGTCTGATATAATCCCAGTTGTTAACTTTTTCTTTTGCTTCCCTTTCCCGAGTAAACATGGTATTTGCAAAGATATTGCTAAGACCTATGTCAAAGAGTGTACTGCCTATATTTTCTTCTAGGAGTTTTATGGTTTCAGGTCTTACATTCAAGTCTTTAATCCATTTTGAGTTAATTTTTGTGTATGGTGCAAGATACTGGTCTACTTTTATTCTTTTGCGTGTGGCTGTCCAGTTTTCCCAACACCATTTATTGAAGAGAGTTTCCTTTCTCCATTGTATGTTCTTGGCTCCTTTGTTGAAGATTAGCTGTCCATAGTTGTGTGGGTTTATTTCTGGGCTTTCAGTTCTGTTCCATTGATCTGTGTCTCTGTTTTCGTGGCAGTACCATGCTGTTTTGATTACTATAGCTTTATAGTATCATTGAAGTCAGGGATTATGATGCCTCCAGCTTTGTTGTTTTTTCTCAGGATTACTTTGGCTATTTGGGGTCGTTTGTTGTTCCATACAAATTTTAGGATTCTTTGTTCTTTTTCTGTGAAGAATGTCATTGGGATTCTGATTGGGATTGCACTGAATCTTTAGATTGCTTTAGGTTGTATGGACATCTTAACTATGTTTATTCTTCTGACCCATGAGCATGGAATATCTTTCCATTTCTTTATGTCTTCTTTAATTTCTTTCAGTAACATCTTATGGTTTTCAGTGTACAGGTATTTCACTTCTTTGGTTAAGTTTCTTCATAGATGCTTTATTCTTTTTGTTGTGATTGTAAATGGGATTGTGTTTTTGATTTCTCTTTCTGCTAGTTCATTGTTAGCCTATAGAAATGCAACTGATTTCTTAAAACTGATTTTGTACCCTGCAACTTTGCTGTAGTTGTTGATTATTTCTAATAATTTTCTGACTAAAAAAACCAAAATAGCTATGAGTCTTTAGACAAATACTGTATTTCCCTGTGCCTCCTTTTCTGTAAAACGGGGATCACAGCCCTCATCTAGGAAGTATTGTGTGGATTAAATGAAATAATACATGTAAAGTATTTAGAACAATGCCTGGCACACAGTAAGATTTCAACAAATATTACTACCAGTACTGAAATTATTATCTGTAGCTTTGGGAAACACTCTGTATTAGTTAGGGTACAGGCTAAGTTGTTAGAAAAAGACCCCAAAATGCATTTGCTCAAAAAGGATAGAAGTGTATTTCTCTTTCACCTAATAGCTGAGAGGTAGAGTCTCAGTCCAGGACCGTAAACATGAGCCATTCTACTCCACAGGGCCATTCAGGAGCCCAGCATCCTCCCATCATTTGCTCCCCATCCCCTAGGGAGACCCCTTCTGCATAGTTAAAGCTGGCTCACCATCACCCCCATCTTCTTGCCTGCAGGAAGAGGAGGAAAGGAAGTGGAGGGTAAACAGCCCTCTTCTAAATGACGTAATTCAGAAGTTGTCCATGTCCTTTCACTCATACCTCATTGGCCAGACCTTGGGCACACTTAGCTGCAGGTGAGTTTGGGAAATGTAGTCTCTAGCTGGGCCAACTAAACATGCCCAACTAAAACTTAGGAGTTCTCACTGAAAGGAAGAAAAGGAGAGTGGAAATTGGGACCATTTTGTGGTCTCTGTGCCACATTGC